TTTTTTTTTTTTTTTTTTTTTCATATTTTAGATTTATCATTCATTTACTGTGCTATCCATTATTACGTACTTATGAACAAAGAAACTACGAAATAACGTTATGCTAGTAATACTTTGTATCGACATTCTAACAAAGGACAAATTTTTACAATCATTTCCACAAAATTTTATTTCTTAGAAAAAAGAAAACATCGCAATACTTTTGATTTCAAAAAGATTAATTTTAATTTTATTTTCGAGCTATCGTTTTGTTTCTTCTCTATCGTTAAAAAATTTCATAACGTATCGATACGTGTTGTTTCTTTCTAGATTGAATGCCCTTTTTTTTGCTTTCTTCAAAGCGTTTTCGTTTGTCGAAACGAGAACTGGATTGGAATAAAAAAAAAAAATTTTAAAAGCTTTAACGAGATTAGTAACGTGACTAGTTTCAAATCAATCTTCAAACGAGAATGTAATTCTGTGACTTAAATAAGTTTGTCATCCCTTATTTCTATAATAGTACATTAACGATTACAACCTCGAAACGTTTAATACTTGAGACAGAGAGAGAGAAATAGAGAGAGAGAGAGAGAGAGTGCGTTACAACGTGTGCACCCATGGCGAACGGGTTTATCGTGCTTTAAATGCTCGCTCATATGATTGTTCCTACGTCGGACGTGTCGACCGTGTGCGGTCTCTTTGTTACACCAGACTTAAAACTTCTCGTACTATGAATAGACTTTCTTTCAGTTCGATTCGTGCGGTTAATTTACATCTGAATGTTGAGCTACGTACGTAACAAACTCTGTCATTTAGAAATTTTTAGTAAATTGGACGCCTATGCTCGTACGCGTGGGCCAATTACACGAACAATCGTGTATATATTGTTTAAAGAAAAGTATAATTAGATTTCGATTGAAACATCGAGAAATGAAATTCGTCAAATAATCGCCGTGGAGCGATGAGAAGAAAGGATTTAGAGACAAAAGATTTTGGATCTTCTTTTTCTGTAGTGCTGTCTCTCTGGCAATTATCGTTTACAATGTTGGTAGTATTACCGCGGATTTACCTTCTGTTTTCCTGCCATTTTAAAGTTCGTTTGGAGTGTCATTAGTGAAGAGTAAGTTTTAGATAAGCTGCTTCCTAAGATGTTTGCTTTGTAAATTTCACTCGAATCAGCGTGCATCATTTTCTTTTCTTTTTGGCTGGCTGATCTTATCCGTTATCAGCCGTCAAAAGTTGGCAACCTTGTTCTAAGTCGTGGAGAGCAACCGTCACGGCGCATCAGTGACGTGTCGCGTGAGACACAGAGAAATGGATGACAGGATAGTTTGAAGTATTCGAAGAAGAATAGCAACTGTTCTCTGTAAATTCCATTGCTATCGCTTTCTCCATTCATGGCACGTGGCTCTCTTTTTGCGTATAATTATTTTTTATCTCGCTAAATTCACGTATTAAAAACGATATTTGTATTAGAAATATTAGAAATGCTGCAATTTCTCTATTTTCGTTTCGTTTAACTAAGACTAACTATTTCGCATTGGTAATTTTAATTTTAATCACATTTGTGAAGAAGTAGTATAAGTAGTAACTAGTCATAAAATAATAGCTATTTTTATAAATATGTTTAGACATTTTTAGTAGAACGATTTTTTCTATTTAAATTATTTCTCTGTATCGTTCGCAATAACATTTATTTATGAGTTTAAACATTTGTAACATTTATTTATGAATGTAATTGTACATTTAAATTGGCACACGTTAATTTCGTTTCAAAAATTACGAAATTAGTACAACTGTTTCCTTAGAACTTTGATATTGCAATCTCAGGATTCCGTGGGCATTTAAATCATGGAATGCGTTATCTTTATGGTGCATTTCCATGCAAGTTTTACAATTTACAATAAAATAATCGACATTGTTAAATATAAAGTTTATTACACCAGAAAAAATTGCAGACAATACGTAAAAAAAAAGACTGTAACTGCGTAGTTAGATACAATCGGAGTATTTCCACATACGCGCTCAAATTTAAGTTTGAGCAAGATAAATTTAGAGCTGTTAAGAAATTTCGTTCGTTATTTTAGTAATTGCACTGGTCAAAGTATTACCTTCGTTTATTTGTCTAACAACGAAGGTGATACAAATCTAAAAAGAAAACGGGATAGAATACCGGTTTAATGCATCAAAGAAATTTTCAATGTCGGAGCATGTTGCAGACGGCGACCTTCGTCGTGCAAACTCAAAGTAATACTTCTTAAGTCGCGATGTATGTGTATATGTATATGCGTGAGCACATACATATTCAATCGCATTTAGTTTCCGCTTGTACTGCTCACGAGAAGCCTTGCAATCGTGTATTCCAAAATTACGTTGTTCAATCAAATTTTCTTCATTCTCATTTAAAATAACGTACAACAATATCACGTACGTGTGTCTTTTAGACTGTATCAATACTGTTGAAAATTTCAGAAAATTATTCTACTTGGAGAGAAAGCTCGTTATCGATGCATTTATTTATTTTTTTGTTTTCGCCATAAAGTACATTATTGTTACAGTTTACATCTGTATCAAGTTTACAAATGTATGAATTAATTGTTCGTTATAAATTCATCCTAATGTTTCGTTCTCTATACAAAGAGATTCTTGCTCTCAAAAAAAAAAAAAAAAAGAAGAAAAGGAGCAATCGACAAGAAACGAATATTGCACAAAGAACAGTGCGTAGAATTGATAT